GTTTTTTTTTTTTTTTTTTTTTTTTTGACAAAAAGACAGCACGATCAACCCTACATTTCCTCAATCAACCATATCCCATGTGGGCATGTGTTTTTTTTTTGCAATTCAACCATATAGCTGATTAACTAATATAATTCCACAAACTTTCTAGGAAAATTCAATGAATAATTGAATTGAGAATCAAACAAACGAGTAAAAATAATTCGATCAGATAACGCCATTCCTTACGTACTTTTAAGATAGATACGCTAAATTATACTTTTGGTCTATCAAGTTTGAGATGATGTCAAATGAGTCCCTAAGTTTCAAAATTGAACAATCAAAATCGAGCATTTTCCCAAGGTTGAAGACTTGATTATTCAAGTTCGGAACGTCAGACCAAGAGTTTAATTTACCCTTTAAGATGTATATGTATTTCAAATTACATTCCTTTCATTGAATGCTTAATTTTACAGAGCTCTCTCACGGTTTTGCATGGTCAAAAACAAAAAGTATGAATGAGCAATATCAAGAGAGGCTGGTAATTCTTTAGGTGATATATATTAGGCATGTAAGCTAAAGAAACTCAAAAGGGGAGGTAAAATTGCAACAGGTCTGAATGAATTACCACCAAAATGTAGGACAATGGAAGCAGCTATAGCTACATTCAAAGCAGTGCCAACACCTTAGTGTGGGAAGTAAATGAAGAAGTCACAGATTGCATGCTCTTCAGCAGAAAGCCTACCAGAAGGAGAAAAGTTCTGTAATTACTGATATCGAGAAAACAAGGACGTTATGAACATTCCCTAATGTTAGCCCTTGCAGCCCTGGTCCCTTAAAACAACATGTATGTTAACCATCAAAAGGGTCACTCAATGCTGAAAATAGTGTAACAAAATTATTTCCTAATGATTCTGATCCAATTTGGTCCAGATGACATATGACCATGCAACTAACCGACTCTTAATGCCTAGAACATTATACAGGGACGGACCCTACAATAAAGCAAGAGGCCCATAATACCATACTAAGTCCTAATCTCATCACATCAAAGGTGGTAACATAATGCACTATAGCAAATATTATTGGCAGAGAAACATTAAGTAGTTATCATGTTTTTACTATGCTATCAGAGCTCATTCATTTCATTATGCTCATGGCCAGCCCCACTAGTCTCAAGGATGGTTTGCCCACCACAAGATCGACCCGAAGAGACAAAAAGTCCTTTTAAGTCATATCTATCAATGGAATTAGAAAGGAACTTGTGAACCGACTCCAACATATAGAAAATAACCCTATCAATTCAATAAGCACAGCGTAAAATTCCCTGGCAATGAATTAAGTACAGATCAAACAACAGAGACATTACATTAACCAATTCCTACTTCTAATCAATGATTTAAGAATTGCAATTAAAAAGACAATTCCAGCACAAGCATGTAGGGATCACCATCAATGAAAGGCCAATAAGATGCAAACGAACAATCAACCAACCTCGTTGCCAAGAAGAACAGCGATTTTTGACAGCCACAGGCGTTGTCAATGATCTCCACGCCACATATATCTCAATCCTCCTCATACACAACATAAGAAGGCAATTCAAATTTCAAAACTAAACCTATTGTCGAATTGAGACTAGTTAAGGGAAGAAACAAAGAGGGCATAACCTCGAGAAAACTTTGGGCATCGAGAAGGGAGTGAAAATGGCGGAACCGGCGATGAGAAGTGGAATCATGGTTACCAAAGGCGTTAAAATCCCAACAGCCGACGAGGATGAGCTCCGATGCACCGAAGGCGATGACACTTCAGGCCAAGGTACCAACGTTGTACCTTTTGGCTACGTTATGCATCACAACGTAGCTTTCGATCCCCATTTTCGAATTCATTGGCGAATAACTCAAAAGTTGGGTTAGATTGATTGAATTTTTCAAGTAATCGGCTGTCCAAAACATCTTTAGTGGACGTCCGCAGTGACCGATGATGAAAGGCGGGAGAAGGAGGAAAGAGAGAGAAGCGAATAAGGAATATATACATATACATATACATATACATATACATATACATATACATACACATACAATATACATACATATACATATACATACACATATATATACATACACATACACATATACATATACATATACATATATATATACATATACATACATATATACATATATTATTTTTCTCATCCCATAAAAATATTATTATATTATAGTTGCTCTCGCAAAATTCTTCATTTATATTTAATTTTGTGAATTCTCCATAGATAATTTTTCGTTTTTATCTTTTAATAATTTAGAATTTTTAATTTAAATATTTCCATTAAAATCTCAAAATTAACTAATTTAATTTTTTAATATAGTGTAAACCTTCTTATAAAATTTAAAAATATAGCTAAATTATTTAAAAATATGAAAATATAAAAATTAAATTTTAAAACCAACTAAATTATTACAAATATAAAATCTAAATTATTATAAATATTAAAATACAAAAATTAAATCATTACAAATAAATAAATAAATAATTGTTACTTTTATAAAAGTTTTGAGATTAAAAATGTTTTTTTTTTTAGAATAAACGCTGAGAAATTTTTTTTTTTCCCATTTCTTATATTTATATAATATTCTATTTTTTTTTTTTTAATACAATATTTCTATACATTTAAACAAGGAAGTAATTCATTTATACAATATTTCTATGCTTTCAATACCTTTGGAGGTCTCCCTTTTGATCTTCCTTTATTCAACCAATCAGTTCTTATTTACAAATCCACAAACTTATATCACAATTTCTATCTCTCTTAAACAGCAACCTGGGCTGCAGCCAATCTTGCCACTGGAACTCTGCAAAAATTAGAGAAACATAGCAACTCATTTCATCTTCCGTTCAACATTTAACACGTTATGTGACGTATTGTCGTATTTCATAGGCCGACACGGTTCTTAAACACTTGTTTTATGCCCGACAATGAACGAAGATAGTATGAACAAAATTTTATATCACTTATGAAGTGGGAACTTTTTAACGACCTAAGCCCCCTGCTAGTAGATATTGTTCTCTTTGGGCTTTCTTTCAAGGTTTTTAAAACGCGTCTACTAGGGAGAGGTTTCCACACTCTTATAAAAAAATGCTTCGTTTCCCTTCCTAACCAATGTGGAATCTCACAATCCACCCCCTTTGGGGCCCAACGTCCTCGTTAGCACTTGTTCTTCTCTCCAATTGATGTGGGATCTCACAATCCAAGCGGTGTGCCAGCGAGGACGCTGGCGCCCGAAGGGGAGTGAATTGTGAAATCCCACATCGATTGGAGAGAGGAATGAGTGCCAACGAGGACGTCGGCCCCAAATGGGGTGATTTGTGAGATCCCATATTGGTTGAAGAGGGGAACGAAACATTTTTATAAGGGTGTGGAAATCTCTCCCTAGTAGACACGTTTTAAAAACCTTGAGGGAAAGCCCAAAGAGAAGAATATGTGTCAGCTATGAGCTTGAGCTGTTACATATTTCTTCCCACCAATGTTTATAATCTCGGAGTTTCGAGAGTGTGTAGTATGTGCATTTAATTTGTTCGATTCTGCAGGTATGATACACAATCTTGGCTGAATTCGAGCGTTTTTGCAGCTAGATTCCGAGTTTTGTTTTGTAAATATTACCAAGTTTACTAGTTACTCGAGTTTAGGATTCAATTCGAGCTAACCTGAAAGGAGAACAGGAAACATAGTCAAGTCCAGCCTCTGCAAAGAATGCAACAGATGAAGGCTCTCCACCATGTTCTCCACAGATTCCAACCTGTTTTTAATACTCTTTTCTCATGATGAATCTTCCAAATAGCTTTAAAAGAATGGGATGTTATTGGTTTTGAAGGGTAATTTACCTTCAAATTTGGCCTGGCTGCCCTCCCTTTTTCTGTGGCTAGCTTGATCAGCTGCCCAACTCCTTTCTGGTCAAGAACCTGCCGCCAAGCACATACATATTCAGTTCATTTGTAGGGCTAAGTTTTGTTGAAGAAAAGCATTGAAAAATGGCACTGACCTCAAAAGGGTCATTTTGCAGAATTCCTTTGGCTATATAAATAGGAAGAAACTTGCCCACATCATCTCTACTGTATCCGAAAGTCATTTGTGTAAGATCATTGGTTCCAAATGAGAAGAACTCTGCTTCCTTTGCTATCTGTCAGTCAAACAGCAGCATAATCTATTGAGTATGTTCTTCCATTTTGCTGTTAAACCCTTGTGGTATTTTGTTTAATTTGTTAGTCCGGACTTTTCCCTGTAAGCTTTTAAAACGAGTATGTTAGAAAGAGGTCTCCACACCCTTATAAAGAATGTTTCGTTCTCCTCTCCAACCAACCGATGTGGGATCTCACAATCCACTCCCCTTCGAGGCCCAGTGTCCTTGCTGGCACATCGCCCGGTGTCTAGCTCTAATACCATTTGTAACAGCTCAAACCCACTGTGAGTAGATATTGTTCTCTTGGGCTTTTCCTTTTGGACTTCCCCTCAGGGTTTTTAAAACGCGTTTGTTAGGGAGAGCTTTTCACACTCTTATAAAGATTTTTTTTCGTTCTTCTCCCTAACCGATGTGGGATCTCACAATCCACCCCCCTTCGGGGTCGAGCATCCTCGCTGGCACATTACCCGGTGTCTAGCTCTAATACCATATGTAACAACTCAAGTCCACCGCTAGCAAATATTGTCCTCTTTGGGATTTCCCTTTCGGACTTCCCTTCAAGGTTTTTAAAATGCTCTGCTATGGAGAGGTTTCCACACCCTTGTAAAGAATGCTTCGTTCTCCTCCCCAACCGATGTGGGATCTCACAATCTACCCCCCTTCAGGACCTAGCGTCCTCGCTAGCACAGCGCCCAGTGTCTGACTATGATACCATTTGTAACAGCCCAAGGCCACCCTTATAAAGAATGTTTCGTTCTCTGCTAGGGAGAGGTTTCCACACCCTTATAAAGAATGTTTGGGCTTCCCCTTTTGGACTTCCGCTCAAGGTTGTTAAAACGCGTCTGCTAGGGAGAGGTTTCCACACCCTTATAAAGAATATTTCGTTCTCCTCACCAACCGATGTGGGATCTAAAATGTTAAAACACATTATTGTTAAGGACTATCAGTAAAATACCTCATCTGCAACAAGAGCAGCTCTAGGAATTTCAATCATGGTTCCCATTTTGTAACTTAAGGAGGAACCCATCTCCGAAAACACCTTCTCGGCGACGCCACGAATCGAGGTGACTTGATGTCTAAGTTCCTGCCATGAAAAATGCCATTATTGTACAGAAAAGTTGCATTTCTTCTTTGCCATGTTATGTTTTGATTCCTAAGTACAAGAATCTCGTAAACCTCAACTAGTTAAGACATATACCATCGAGAAAGAAAAAGAACTTCGTGTGTCCATTATAGCGTTAATGACAGAAAGAAACAGTTCATACTTGTGGTGTTCCAACCAATGGAACCATTATCTCAGGCAGAACTTTGATTCCTTGATTGCTCATTGAGATAGCAGCCTGAAAGATTGCACGAGCTTGCATTTCCGTGAGCTCCGGGTACGAGATCCCGAGCCTACGTGTTCAGAGACAATCAGAAACCATTTGAAAAAAGTTGGCAATGGCAATGGCATAGTTATATCATACCTGCAACCGCGAAAACCGAGCATTGGGTTAACTTCTGAGAGTTTCTCAATTCTAGAGAACACTTCATCTTCACTCATTCCAGTCTCTGCAGTTAGTCCTTTGACAATCTCTTCCAGGTCGCCTTCAGGAAGGAACTCATGGAGTGGAGGGTCCAACAGTCTAATGGTCACTGGAAGACCTGAAAGTGTACAGCAAAGTAAACATCAACTACACATATGGAACTATTTATAACAAGTCAAAGGAGCTACAAAATAGTAGGCTGAATGTTTAATGTTATTGAGGGGAAACCCGAGAGGGAAAGTCCAAAGAGGACAATATCTACTAGTGGTGGGCTTGATGTGCCACCGACGACGTTGGGCCCTAAAGAGGGGTGGATTGGGGGTCCCACTTCGATTGGAGAAGGGAACGAGAGCCAGCAAAGACACTAGACCCCAAAGGAGGGTGGACTGTGAGATCCCACGTCGGTTGGGAAGGAGAACGAAGCATTGTTTATAAGGGTGTGGAAACCTCTCCCTTGTAAACACGTTTTAAAAACCTTGAGGGGAAGCCCGAAAGGGAAAACCCAAAGAGGACAATATCGGTTAGCAGTGGGCTTGGGCTGTTACAAATGGTATCAAAGCCAAACATCGAGCAGTGTGCCAGCGAGGACGCTAGGCCTTAAAGGGGGGTGGATTGTGAGATCCCACATCGGTTGGGGAGGAGAAGAATGAAACATTCTTTACAATGTGGAAACCTCTCCCTAGCAAACGCGTTTTAAAAACCTTGAGGGGAAGCTCGAAAGGGAAAGCTCAAAGAAGACAATATTTGTTAGCGGTGGGCTTAGACTATTACAAATGGTATCAAAGCCAGACATCGGGTGGTGTGCCGGCGAGGACGCTAGGCCCCGAAGAGGGATGGATTGTGAGATCCCACATCAGTTGGGGAGGAGAACG